GTCAGCAGTTCAGATCCACCAGGCACCCTTTGGAAATCCTATGGGGCGGTTCTACTCTGTGCTATAGGGTCGACAACAACAGGTTTGGGTTTCGTTTTGTTTTAGCAGTATTCAGCTCCCTTCTTGAAATACTTTTCTCCTTTGATTCGCGTGACAAAAAGCTCTCCAGCATTGCTTCTACCCTGTCTGGCCCCACCCACCCTTCAGAACAAACATTAACCTTGTACTGTGAAACCTGCGAAAGCCGGAACCTGTGTAAGGTGGGAACCTGCCAGAGAAGGAAAACTCAAATATTTTCCACTAATGGAGAGCGACCGATTAGGACAGAGTAGAACTACCCCTTAGGGTTTCCAAGGAGCTGTGGGTGGATTCGAACTGCCAACCTTTTGGTTAGCAGCCACATGCTTAACCACTGCACCACCAGGGCTCCAGCAATAGAGAGCGACAGAAAAGTGTTTAGGCTGCACCCTGTCAAAGGCAGAAAACTTTCGAGACCCAGAAAAACAAGGCAGTCCCGTCGAGTTCCAGCTCCATGGGTTTCACTGTATTGCTTTAACCATACAGGTCCCTGGGTGGCACATGCGCTCCATGTTCAACTCCTAACCTAAAGGTTGGCCGTTTAAACCCATCCAGTGGCACCACAGGAGAACGGCCTGACCATCTGCTTCTTTAAAGATAGTTGTTGTATGCCGTCAAGTCAATTCCGTCTCATAGCGACCCTATAGGAGAGTAGAGCTACCCCATAGGGTTTCCTAGGCTGTAATCTTTACAGGAGCAGATTGCCAGGTCTTTTCTCCCACATAGCTGCTGGGTAGGTTCAAACTGCCAACCTTCCACTTAATAGCTGAGCACTTAACCATTGCACCACGAGGGCTCCTTCTGTAAAGATTACAGCCTTAAAAGCCTATAGAGCTGTTCTACTCTGTAACACGTGGGATCACCAGAGTCAGGATTGACTCAGTCGCAGCGGGTTTGACTTTACTGCCACAATAATGCTGTGTAACAACCCCAAAATCTGTGTTTTGAACCACTAAGCATTTACTTAGCACCCAAATTTACAGGTCAGCTGAGCAGTTGGCCTGGCTCAGGCTCACTCCTGTATCTGCAGTCAGCTGTGAGTCAGGAGGGTGGCTCTGTTGACTTTGATTGGAAGTTGGCTGGCTGTTGGTTGATCTAGAATGGCTTTAGCCAGTAAAAGTGAGAGAGCTCTGCTCTGCTCCAGTGTCTCTTCTTCTAGCAGGCTAGCTCAGGCATGTTGTCATGGTGCTCACCAAAGAGCAGTAGAGGTGTCTTAGTCATCTAGTGTTGCTATAACAGAAATGCCACAAGTGGATGGGTTTAACAAACAGAAATTTTTTCTCTCACGGTCTACTGGCTAGAAGTCCAAATTCAAGGCACCAGCTCCAGGGGAAGGCTTTCTGTCTCTGTGGGCTCTGGGGGAAGGTCCTTGTCATCAGTATTCCCTTGGTCTAGGAGCTTCTCTACACAGGAACCCCAGATCCAAAGGACGTGCTGTGCTCCTGGAGCTACTTTCTTGGTAGTATGAGGTCCTCCTGTCTCTCTGCTTGCTTCTCTGTTTTATATCTCAAAAGAGATTGGCTCAGGACACAGTCCAGTCTTGTAGGCTGAGTCCTGCCTTGTTAACATAACTGCCGCCTATCCCACCTCATTAACATCATGGAGGTAGGATTTACAACACATAGGAAGATCACATCAGATGACAAAATGGTGGACAATCACACGATACTGGAATCATAGCCTAGCCAAATTGATACACATAATTTTGGGGGACACAATTCAATCCATGACAAGAGGTAAGTGGAAATGGGCGAGGCATCTTAAGGCCTGGGCTCAGAACTGGCAGGCCAGCCCAGAGGAGGGGAAGTAGACTCTGCCTCGCTGGTGCAAGGAGAACTACAAAGTCATGCTGGTGTCCATGCAAACTACATGGACACAGGAGGGGTGAAGAGGTGGGGACATTACTGCAGGTGACCACAGTTACTCTTCCATGACTCTGCCTGTTCCTTCCAGTGCCATACCCACTAGCCACAAATGGCTCTTTAAATTAACCAAATTGAATAAAATTAAAAATTCAGTTCTTCAGTCACACTGGCCACATTTCAAATACTGTACTCAGTAGCCCGTATGGCTGCTGCCGCCACCACACCAGTTGCTGTCGAGTCAGTTCTGACTCATGGCGACTCCATGTGTAGAGTAGAACTGTGCTCCTCAGGGTTTTCAAGGGCTGATTTTTCAGAAGCAGATCGCCAGACCTTTCTTTCGAGGGTGCCTCTGGGGAGATGCAAACCTCCAACCTTTCGGTTAGCAGCCAAGGGCATTAACCTCTTTCACCACCCAGGGATTCCGTATGTTTCCAGTGGCTACCATATTGGACAGCACAGGTATAGACCATTTCCACTGCAGAAAGTTCTACTGCCCAGCGCTGCCTAGACTTGGCTGCTCAGGCGTCGTTGTAGGAGAAGGGCTTTCCCCTCCAGAATCTCAGACCCAAAGTGGGTTTGCAGGAGCCGTGAATGCCAGTGAGTAATCTGAAGACAGTGCAGGCTTCTTTCTCAGAGGCCCTGAGGCATCCCGGTAACAAGGCGGTGATTTAGGGGATGTGTGAGTGAGCACAGGAAGGAGGCTTTCCTAACCATTATAATTGGACATGAAGACTGAGACGCCGGATAGGGACCAGGGGGAAGGCTGCGTTTAGCTGAGCCAGGACAGTGTTTTGTGGAATGCTGTTATTAAGGAACCACGAGCACCCTCTAAGTGCTGTACAATTTACACATTGCCGAGGTGGCAGCCTTTTATTTTGACAAGTGGAAAGGACACGGAGCGGGGCTTCCCCACGACCCTCCCTGCTCTGCTGTCTGCCCCCTCCTCTCCTCTGGGCGTCTCTGCTTAGCTCCTTGCCCCTTTCTACCAGCAAACCTTAGCGGATCGAAGACGTGTGTTTTAAAAACAGCGAGCTTCCCCGACTCTTGAGACAAAAGATTAGACTGGACTATAAAACATAAAATAATACTCATGAAGAGTGTGCTTCTTAGTTCAAGTAAAAGATGTCAAAAAACCAAACCCGTTGCCGTCGAGTCGATTCCAACTCACATACACAAGACTGAATGGGCAGCTCCTGTCTAGAGGCGAGATGAGAAGGCAGGAAGGGACAGGAGCTGGGTGAATGGACACGGGAAACCCGAGTTGGAAAGGGGGAGTGTGCTGTCACAGTATAGGGATTGCAATTAGGGTTTCATAACAACATGTGTATAAATTTTTGTATGAGAAATCAACTTGAGCTGTAAACTTTCACTTAAAGCACAATAAATTTAAAAAGGAAAAATAAATAAATAAATAAAGCCGTGAGCTTCCGTTTTATTTACTTATTTATTTTTACCTGTCAGATGGGCAGTCACTTTTAAAGATAATACTCGGTGTTGACAATAAGAAGGGCAATGAGAGAATAAAGCAGTACAACCTTTCTGATAAAGTCGGGCAGCAGGCATGAAGAGCCCCTCAGAGATTAAAAAAAGAGATATGCCCCCAAAAACATTTTTGCTGAGGGATGTCTAATGCAGCATTGTTTATAATGGCCAAAATTGAGAAACCAGGTAAGGATCTAGTGATAGGGAACTTGCTCGATAAACGATGGTATTCATACAGTGGCGTACTATGCAGCCACACTTCCCAAAGAAAAATTATTTTTCAGAGACTTTTCGAAGACGTGATAACACTCAGGGAAGACTGTTATGCAAGAGCAGGATATAAGGTAATGTGTATATATAGAGAGAGAGAGAGCCCTGGTGGCACAGTGGCTTAAGAGCGTGGCTGCCAGTCAAAAGGTCAACAGTTCGAATCTACCAGCTGCTCCTTGGAAATCCTATGGGGCAGTTCTACTCTGTCTGGTAGGGTCACTATGAGTCAGAATCAACTTGATGGCATGGGGATGTAATATTTATGCATATATATGCATTGAGAAAAGGGCTGGAAGGAAATATGACACCCTGACAGTGTTTGCTTGCCACTGTCACTCCCCAGTACTTAGCACCAGTGGGACTTAGTAAATTGTCCACTGATGTTTTCTAAGGGAAGAGAAGTCAGAAGTAATTTTTATGTTCTTTATTGTACTTTGTTACACTCAGCATGATTTACATTTATAATAAGCAGAAGAATTATTAATAGATGTTAAGTTTACTGGAGCAACAAAGGAAGAAGGAGACTCAGGAACAGGAGGAAGAAATGGATGTGTAGCTAATTGCCTCCATGAACAACTGCCTCTTCTGCCACGAGACCAGAAGAACTGGATGGTACCTGGCTACCATTGCTAAACATTTTGATCAAAGATTCCATAGAAGAATCCTGATCAAAAGGGAGAAAAAACAGAACAAAATTTCAGATTCTCATGGAATCCAGACTTCCTGGAACCATGGAGGCTGGATGAACCCCTGAAAGTATTGAGCTAAGATAATCTTTAAATCGTAAAGCTTAAATCAAAAATACTCCCTGAAGGATTCTTAAAACCAAACAGTAGTTTAGCTTAGCTAGTAAAGAATGTCTGCCTTGAGCATTGTGTGGATCAAATTGACAGCAGCAACTAGAAAGATCAGATAAGAAACTTATGGGTCAATGAGTTTATGATAATGGTAGAGGAACAATTTGGAAAATGAAGGTAAGAATGTTTGCACAATTTGAATAATGTAATCAATGTCACTGAATTGTACATGTAGAAATTGTTAAATTGGTGTATGATCTGCTGTGTATATTCTCCACAACAAAAAAGTACATTATATATATAAAAAGAAAATGACATTTGTTATAAAGTAAGTATTTTTAAAAAACAGTTACTAAGAGTACGGATTCATAAGGAGCAGTTTTCAGACTGATGCAAAGGAATGCTTTATGTAAGCAGTGCATAAAGCATTGCATAAAAGGAAGAGCTACATCAGGGATGTTTCAGGCTCTATCCCATGAGGAGGTGTGAGACTGTGCCTCTTTTTCAGGTATTACCCAATGGGCCACCCAGTGTCTGTCCACCTCTACTTCCTTGCTGACCGCTTCCAGGGCTTTGTCATCAAGCATCATGCTACCAATCTGGCCGTGAGCAAACTCGAAACCCTGGAGACGTGGGTGATGCCCAAGAAAGTCTTCAAGATCGCCAGCCCACCCAGCGACTTTGGGAGGCTTCAGTTTTCCGAGGTAAGAGGCCAGGCATGATCACATGCCCACTCCTTTTGAAGTCCCCTTGCTGGGTCCTGCTCCACAATCTGCCTCTTGTAGTTGGAGGTGAAGGAGAGAAGGATTTGGAGAGCCCCAGAGACGGATCTCGAAGATGTGCCCACCTTGTGCCTAGAGAAAGTTCCCTAGCCCTGACCACTGGGACCAGAGTCTTAAACAGGGTAAGAGGAGAGGGACAGTGGAGTGGTCGACATCATGGACCAAGCCAACCGGTTTATTTTTTGGTGTATTTCTTATTTTTATCTTGGTATATAATTTATTATAGAATTTCTGTTCTGTTAATTTTTCATTCTAGCCATTCAGTCTTCCAAAACCTACATTAGTAATAGACCGGTAACAAACCAGTTTCCTAATGAAGTCATCATTAGCTCCATTTTACAGATTGGAGGACAGAAGCCGTAGAGATCCAGTGATTTGCTAGATCACAGCTAGGAAATGGAAGAGCTCAAAATTGATCCCAAGTCTCTTTGGCCACAGATCCTATGCTTAACTGTGTCTTCATCTCCCCAGTTCCTAGCACAGGGCTTAGCTTAAAGTACGAACCAGACCAGTCATTGAACAAATGAGTGGGGGGGTGCATGAAGAGACCAATAAGTGGACTCGTGAAACACAGTTCCCCCTCCCCAGTACAGCATCCGTATTTGTAGTACTTTTCTGGCTGGGGAGATGGAGTTATTCAGCACCAGCCTTGTAACATCAGTGCTGCCTCCAGACCTAGAAGGCCCTACATGATCTGACCTCCATCTACTTCTCCAGCCCCCTCCAGTCCCACTCTCCTCTCTGCTCACACATCTTCTGTCTTTGTCAAACATGGCAAGCTGGTTTCTGCTTCAGACGTGGCACATGCCTATCCTCCTGCCTAGAGTGCCTTTCCGCTGGACGTTCCCAGAGCTAGCTCTCTACTGAACTCACCTGGTGGTACTGGGAAACGAAAGGACTAACGATCTGCTTCCATTAAGATTACAGCCAAGAAAACCCTGTGGAGCAGTTCTACTCTGTAACATGGGTTCCCATGAATTGGAATCAACTTGATGGCAGCTAACAACAAGAAGAAGCTCTTTTCCTGCCGTTCTGATCTCAGTCCCAGTGTGCCCCTTCCTTGACCACCACACGCCACAGTAGCTCCATTCCCCATCCGACGTGTCCTCGTCTTCTTGTGTTCTCCTAGCCTTTGCCATCTAAGATTATCTTGTTCATTTATGTGATCACTCATTGACTATCCACAGAGAGCTGGGACTCCATCTCTCTCATTCACTGCAGCATCCCCAGCACACAGAAGAGCACAGAGCGTTTGTAGATGCCAACTCATTTTTGTTGTTGTTGTTGTTGTGGGGTGGAACCTGTGAAGCTGTGTTGCAGCATATTTCCCAGGGGATTCTGGGGCACAGCCAGGTTTGGGAATCACTATTGTATAGAACCCCCTCACTTTTTTTTTTAATAATTTTTTTTTGTTTGTTGTTGTTATTGAGAATAGACACAACAGAAACATGCACCAGTTCAACCATTTCTACGTGTACAATTCAGTGACGTTGATTACGTTTTTCAAGTTGTGCAACCATTCTCACCTTCCTTTTCTGAGTTGTTCCTCCCCCATTAACATAAACTCACTGCCCCCTAAGGTACCAGTCTGATCTTTCGAGTTGTTGTCAGTTTGATCCCATGTAGATAGTTCTTAGAAAAGCATAATGCTCAAGGCCGACATTTTTTACTAGTTAAGCTAAACTATTGTTTGGTTTTAAGAAGACTTCCAGGGATATTTTTGGTTTAAGTTTTGAAGATGATCTCAGGGCAATAGTTTCAGAGTTCATCCAGCCTCCATGGCTCCAGAATGTCTGGAGTCCATGAGAATTTTAAATTCCAGTCTTCATTTCCCCCCCTTTTGATCAGGATTCTTCTATGGAATCGCTGAGTCATGTTTTGGAATGAATGAGTGAAATCACTTAGGTAGTGATGCTGGAAGGAAGGGAGACATGATTAAGCTTGGTGGGGGTTGCTCACACAGACCTCCAGCACTTGATGTCTGCCTTTCCCGCGTCAGTACATAGCTAAGGAACTGATTCATCCCTGGGTTAAGCATTCCCAGTGAGCTGGGCTTCTGGGTTAGGAAGGAAGAGTGTGATTATAGAAGACAAAGAATCTTGAAGGGCTGGCAGTGCAGAGTCCCACCTGCTTATATTTTCCTTGCCAACCCTTGAACTTCATGCTTCCATGAACAACTGCCTCCTCTGCCATGAGACCAGAAGAACTGGATGGTGCCCCCAGGGCCCTGCCTGACTGGCCTGTGCCCCCACTTAATGAGTTCCCATGTCTAACAGGGCCTGGGTGGGAATTTTCTTGTTAATGTACCATGTTCAATTAAGGCTTCAAATGGATTAGCTGGATGGGAGCCGCCACGAGAACCCACTCCATAAATTACTGGCATCAGGGGACCATTAGACACTGCCCCAGCTGAATTCTCTGTTGGGGGCCCAAGTGGCCAGTTGAAGACGTTAATGTCCCATTAAAGAGATGGATGCCTGGTGACAGGGCTGTCCCTGTTTATGCCTGCTTTGGGGTAACAGGGTGCCTCTGACAGTGACAAATACGGTGGCCATTCTGTGTCTCATGATTTGCAAGGGCTGCTACCATAGATCTGCTCCCCTTGGTGTGAGAACCATGACCACTGGCCAAGAAATGGCAGGTGATGGCCAAGAGCCCTGGGTCTTGTGTTTTTTTTTCCCTAGAGTCTTGATTATTTTTAATGGCAAAGTGTATAAAATTAAACAAGAAGGAAGGGAAAAAGTGTGGGACCCCTTTGTGGGCTGTTGAGAATCCCCTTTGTGCTAGCACCATCCCCAGGGTCTTGCATAGTGTCTGGCTCATGGTTGGTGGCCAGTATTGTTGAACAGCTCAGATAGATTTCTCCCTCCTGTCGGAGTCCAGCTATTGGCTTGGAGAAAAGATACGCATTCCTTCAGCAGACAGTCACTGAGTGCCTACCATGTGCTCAGTTCAGAAGGCACAGCGGTGAACCAGGCAAACCAGGTCTTTGTTGTCATGGAATTGCCATCTAGTGGGAAGCAGCCAGAAAGAGCCCTGGTGGTGTAGTGGTTAAATGCTCGGCTGCTAACCAAAAGATTGGCTGTTTGAACCCACGAGCTGCTCAGTGGGAGAAAGATGTGGCAGTCTGCTTCCCTAAAGATTGCAGCCTTTGGAAACCCTATGGGGGAGTTCTACTCTGTCCTATAGGGTGGCTATAAGTCAGAATTGACTTGACATCAATAGGTTTTTGCTTTTTAGGGGACTGCCAGACAATGAACGAGTAAATGAATGCACAAAAACATTTCTTGTAATGACAAGTATTGTAAAGAAAATAAAATTTGGTTATGTGATTGCTGGGGACTGGGGGGCAGGGAGTGATGGGGACTCTTTTTTTTAAATAATTTATTTTATTTTGTAATTGTTGAGAATGTGCACAGCAGAACATACATCAATTCAGTAATTTCTACCTGTAAAATTCAGTGACATTGATTTCATTCTTCAAGTTGTACAACCATTCTCACCCGCCTTTTCCAAATTGTTCCTCCCTCATTAACATAAACTCACTTCCCTTTTCATAACCAGGAAACTCAGATAAGTTTCTTAGCTGATCTTTCTAGTTACTGTTGTCAATCTGATCCATATAGATAGTTCCTTTAAAAAGCACTATGCTAAAGGCAGACTTCTTTGCTAGATAAGCTAAACTGTTGTTTGGTTTTAAGAAGACTTCAGGGGCTATTTTTGATTTAAGGTTTATGATTTAAAGATTATCTCAGAAAGTCTGGATTCCATGAGAATTTGAAATTCTGTTCTGCATTTTCTCCCTTTTGATCAAGATTCTTGTATGGAATCTTTGATCAAAACATTCAGTAACGGTGGCTGGGCGCCATCCAGTTCTGGTCTCATGGCAGAGGAGGCAGTTGTTCATAGAAGCAATTAGCCACACATTCCATTTCTTTCTCCTGTTCCTGAGTCTCCTTTCTCTGTTGCTCCAGGTGAATGGAGACCAATTGTTGTACCTTGGATGGCTGCTTGCAAACTTTTCAGACCCTAGGCATTATACAACGAACTAGGGGGTAGAACAGAAGCACTAAACATGCTAGTAGGCCAGTTAACCGGGAGTCCCATGAAGCCATGACCCTAAACCTCCAAATCAAGGAACCAAATCCCATGAGGTGTCTGGTTGTACATAAGTAGCTTCAGCAGCTGCTCTGTTTTTGTTGTAAATGTATCATGCAACTTTTGCCAATTCAGCTTTTTACGGGTGTACAACTTATTGACAGCAAATACATTAATCCACTGTGAAACCCTACACTTAATCAATGCAATTTTTCCACCACTGTAAACCGAAACTCAGTGCTCCGTAAGCAGTAACGCCCCCCCCCCCACTTCAGCGGGGACTAAGGAGCCCTGGTGGCACAGTGGTTAAGAGCTCGGCTGCTAACTAAAAGGTCGGTCGTTCGGACCCACCAGCCGCTTCACTGGAGAAAGATGTGGCAGTCTTTTTCCGTAAACATTACAGCCTCGGAAACTCTATGGCCCAGTTCTACTCCATTCTGTAGAGTCACTATGAGTCAGAATCGACTCGATGGCAGTGGGTTTGAGTTTTTGGTTTTTGATAGGGACTACTTTTGATAAAACGATTTGGGAAGACTTTTGTAAGGAGATGATAACCTTAGAGCTGAAACCTGTAAGAGCTAGCCATGAGGAGATCTGGAGGAATAACATTCTGGGCAGCGAGAAGAGCGTGTGCAAAGGCCCTGAGGCTCCAGGAAGAGCTTGGCATGCTCAAGGCCAGTGCTCAAGGCTCAAGCAGCAAGGCAGTGTGGCCAGAGCACAGTGAGCAAGAGGGAAAGTTATAGGAGGGCAGACCTGAGATGGGTAGGGGTCCAGATCAAGAGGTCTTGCAGGCCCCAGAAGGAAACTGGAATTGTATTTTAAGAGTAATGGGAAGCCTTTGGTAGGTTTTCAGCTGGGGAACAGCATGTTAAGCATGAACTTGAGCATGTGTTTGCATTTGGGAAAGTGATCATTTTGCAGTGAGTGGTTGTAGACTCCCACAACAAAGCCCAGTGATAAGTTCTTGAAGGCCACAGAGGATGTGACAGCAGCCAGCCCTCGGTCTCAGCCAGCACTACCTCCCTTGTGCTTCGGGGAATCAGTTGACTCTCTCCTCGCTCTCCTGGGTTTAGAAACAAGATCCAGATCTCCCACAATCGGCTGCTCCACAACTCCTCTGCCAGGGTTATCGTGGTTTTAGAACTCAGCCTTAAGAGAATTGTTCAGCCTGCTTCTTTGGAGGATCCAAGGACGATGTTCTGGAGTGTCCCCACACCCCCTAACTGGTCAAAAATCCCTTAAGTATGGCCCCACAGTGGTTTGTGATCCATCACCCATTGTTTTAGCATCTCTTGGGAAGCCAGTGCATGGAGACCTGGGTGCATAGGGTGGCCAATGTCCTCGGCCCCAAGTCATTCATGACACAGGTATATAGATTGAGCACCTACTATGTGCCCGGGACTGTTTGCTGCACTAGAGATACATTGGTGAGCAAGTTGGACATAGTCCCTGACCTCATGGAGCTGACAGTCTGGAGCTGGGGAGAGAGGCAAGTGAGTGAAAAATTGCAGTACTGTGTGGGAAAAGCTGTGATGGACAAACAAGGAAGAGGAGCACATCAAGGGTGCCTCTAACCAGACTGTGGCCAGGTGGTGGGCACCAGGGGGTTTCTGGGAAGAGGGTGGTGAGGAGGAGCTGGCCAGGAGGAGAGTGAGAGAGGTGGAAGACTGTTCAGCAGAGGGCTGGGCATGGACAAAGTAGCAGAGGCACAGGAGAGCCCTTCACCCCGAGGGGCCGAGGGTAAGAGCCGGTGGCCTGGAGCAGAGAGTGGGTGGAGCAGAGGGAGAGAGACAGGGACAGAGCCAGACCAAAAAAAAGTCTCAGAGGATGGGGTGAAGAAACTGGACTTCAGAATGATGAGGAACTCTTCAGACAGGGATTGGACTGGACCGTGGGACATAAAGTGATACTCATGAGGAGTGTGCGTCTTAGCTCAAGTAGATATAAGAGACTAAATGGGCAGCTTCTGTCCAGAGGTGAGATGGGAAGGCAGAGAGGGTTAGGAGCTGGTTGAATGGACTTGGGAAATCAGGGGTGGAAAGGAGAAATGTGCTGTCACAGTATGGAGAGAGCAATTAGGGTCACATAACAATGTATGTACAAATTGTTGTATGGGAAAAATACAAAAAAAAGAATAATGAGGAGCTGGAAAGGGTCATCAGTAGGGAAATGACAAGCTCAGATGTCTTTAGAAAACTCTCCCAAGCTTTGAGGCCTACCTTGACTCCCGCTCATTCATTCATTGATGCCTTCAACCAATAATATTGTTTGAATTCCCACTGTGTGCCAGGCACTGTGCTAGGCCCCAGGGGTTCTCAGGAGGAGCTAGCCCCTGCTGGCCCCAGAGTGACAGAAAATGCCCAGATTTCATAAACCTGCTTCTCCTTGAGCCAAGCTCCTTCCTGGAGCCTCAGGGCCTTTGCACATGCTCCTCTCGCTGCCCAGAATGCCCCTGCAGAAATGTCAGAACAGTAACTATCTCCACCACCCTCAGGACAACACCTCAGTCCTAATCTTTAGGCACTGGTCTGACTGGAACTTGAAGCAAATGTGTGCACATCCATGTCCACTGCCTGACAGGGAGCAGATGCTCAGTACGTATGTGATGGATGAATTGGTGAGTGAGTGAGTGAGTGAGTGAGTGAGTGAGTGAGTGAGTGAATGAGAGGCAACATATAAGAATGCAGCCTCTGGGATCAGACTTCCTGGGTTCCTAGCTCTGCGCCTTACTGGCTGTGGCACCTGGGGCAAGTTCTCTAACTGCTCGGAGCCTCAGTTTCCTTGTCTGTACAGTGAGGATGATGACAAGGGTCTCCCTTTGTGCGGCTGGGGATACTAAGTCAATCGATGCATCCAAGTGCTTAGCATTATGCTTGGCACACAGTAAGCTCTCGGTAAATATTAGCCGTATCACTCTGTGTCCTGGGTAAAGAATGGACATAGCAACTTGTGGCAAGAACCACAAGAAAGTAAATCAGCTCCTATTTGCACTGCATGTGTGAGATCTTCTCGGGGCATAGATATATATACCCACACCTATGCCCTGGCCCCCATGCACACATTAGAGCTGCTGGCTCTGGAAAGCCCACAGAGACAATGCAAGCCTTATCTGTACTCATTACCTTCCTCCAACATAGCCGCATGCTGTGTCCCCAGAAACACGAAATTAATCCCCTGGGGGAGCCTAAGACCTCTGATTTAATTTGATTTGAACTAGCAACAGAGTTCAGGATCAGGAATCTACATACTTAACTCGTTTTTTATGAAGTCATTCACTCATCCATTCCACAGATGTTAAGCGAGTACCTACTGTGTGCTGGGCGCCAAGAGAGAGTGGTGGACTCAGCTAGCCAGGCCCACATTCACACAGGAGGAGAGGAACACATAAATCTATCATCAGTCGGCTCTCAGCTGGTGTTGACCGGCCCTGGCGCAAAGAAAATCCAGCAGCCGGGTGGGGCAGAGTGAGACTGAGGGGCCATTTCAAATTGGGGGGTCCGGGAAGGACTGTGGGGAGACCTCAGAGGTAAGGGGCCTGCTGTGCAAAAATGTGAGGGAAGAATATACCAGGCAGAACAAATGGGGCAAAAACCCTGAGGTGGAAGCGAGCCTGATAGGTTTGAAGGGCTGAAATAAAGCAAGCATGGCTACCACATCGTGAGCAAGAGATGGTTGTAGAGTGAGGCAGGGGCCAGCTCAGGTAGGGAGATGCTGAGTACGCTCAGAAGCCATGCAGGGTTGAGCAGTCTGGCTGCTGGGTGGAGAGTAAACTGCAGAGGGTTTGCGAGGAAGGAGGGAAGCCAAGAGGAGATTCCCTGGGGGTCAAAGCCACGTGTGCCCAGCTGGCTGGCAGGAAGCCTGCGGCGTGCGTACAGCCACCTCCTCGTGCCTAGGACCCAGCACGGTGTTAGTGGGGAGCTAGAGCTGCGTCTTCCTCGGAAAGCCATTTTAACTGGGTTTCCAGTGATGGGTGATGCTGAGGGGCTCTCCTTGCTTGTAAGAGGTCTGCTCTAAAACCTGCAGCTCATTCGTGTTCAGAACGATGTTCCTTCCCTCTATGGGGGCACATGGTCTGGGAAGCCCAGGGGCCAAAGTGAAAGCCTCTGTCCTTGGGTGGAAGGGTGTACATTTCCTTGTAAGGGCACACAAGTTGTTTATTCACACACATTTCATTCGTGCACATTTTTTTCAAAGCACACACTGTGTAGCAGGCCCAGGAGGACCAGTGGTTTAGTGAAGGGACCAAAAAAAAAAAACAGTTTCCATGGAGTCAATTCCTACTCATGGCAGCCTCGTGTGTGTCAGAGTAGAACTGTGCTCCATTGGATTTTCAATGGTTGTGGTCTTTCAAAAGTAGATTGCCAGGCCTTTTTTCCAAGGTCCTCTGGGTGGATATGAACCACCAACCTTTCAGTTAGTAGCCAAGCACTTAACCATTTATGCCACCCAAGGACTCCCTGTGAAAGGGCCACAGGCCTTGTGATCTGCCAGACTAGGTCCAAATCCCAGTTCTTCTGCTTACTAGCTGTGGGACTTTGGGCAAGTGACTTAACCAGAGCCTCAGTTTCCTCATCTGTAAAGTGGGGAGGATGGATCCTAACCTGAGTTCATTCCCAACAGTTTCAGATCTCGCTCTCCTGTTTTAGGTCGGCACTGACTGGGACGCCAAGGAGCGTCTGTTCCGCAACTTTGGGGGTCTCCTGGGGCCCATGGACGAGCTGGTGGGCATGCAGAAATGGGGGAAGGGGCCCAACGTGACAGTGACCGTCATCTGGGTGGACCCCGTCAACATCATCGCAGCCACCTACGACATCCTGATTGAGTCCACTGCCGAATTCACCCACTACAAGCCCCCTTTGAACTTGCCCCTGAGGCCTGGGGTCTGGACGGTGAAAATTCTCCACCACTGGGTGCCCGTTGCAGAGACCAAATTCCTCGTTGCACCTCTGACTTTCTCTAACAGGCAGCCCATCAAACCAGGTGAGTATTCCCAGTGTCTCTGCAGGGGGGTGCGGGGGGATGTCCATCCCAGGACACATTGCAGTTCTGTGACCACTGCAGCAGTGCTTCTCAGATGCAGGCTTGCTGGCTGCCCAGGAGAACATGCTGCCTGCTCTCAGCATTTTTTCCCTACTGTTTGACATAAAGAACCGTTCAATTTTCTACCCATACACAGAGGTGATTTCGCCTGTCTGTTTATTAGGTACCTGGCAGAACTCTCCCATTGGACTTCTAGAAGTCCTTGATTATATTTCAGACAAGAAAGCAAATTTTGTTCCCTGTTTAAAAAAAATCATTAAAATTAGGAAATTCTGTTCATCAAAAACACGATACACTAGTTGAAAAGACAAACCACATACCAGTGAAAGATATTGGCTACACATAAAACAAAGTACTCATATTCAGAATATCATAAAGAAATCTCATAAATCAGAAGCTGGCAGACTATGGGCCACAAGCCAGATCCCGCCCTCTGTCTGATTTTGTAAATAAAGTTTTATTGGAACACAATCACATCCATTTGTTTACATATTTTGTAGGACTCCTTTTTGTTTTGAGTAGTTGTGACAGAGAACATACAGCCTACAGAGCCAAAAATATTTACCATCTGGCCCTTTTATAGGAAATGTTTACAGACCCTTACTATAAGCCAATAAGGACAAACAGAAAAAGAAGAGAGAGCACACATCAGCCTTATTAGTAATGAGAGAAATGCAAATTTTTTTTCAAAAACTTTCATTTGACCCAACCCCCTCCCCCCCAACTTGTGAAATATTAAGACAATGTCACAGGTTAGTGAGGCTGGTGAATAATGGGCACTCACTCACTGCTGGTGGGTCAATTGATCCAACTGGTTTGGAAAACAGTTTAGCGTTTTCTAGTAAAGCTGAACATTCACATACCCTACTACATCTGAGTATATACCCTGGGGACTGCATAGCAGAATCATTCATCATAGCACAAAATTGGATCCAATCTAGATGTTCCACATTTGAATGGATAAACCATTTGTGATCTATTTATGCAACGGAGTATTAGGCAGCAGTGAACACGAATACAACCCAGCTACATGTGTTCACTTAAGTAAGTCTCTAAAACATAATCTTGAGGGGAAAGAAATCATATATTATGGTCCATTTATTTAAAGTTCAAAACAGGGAAAGCCAACAGTGTATCATTTCAGAATTCATGTATCAGAAGTTGTAAGGAAATGAAAGGAACAATTAGCAGCAAGTTCAGGATCGTGGTTTCCCTTGAACGTGGAGGGCAGGGAAAAGAAGGCAGGACTCCTGCGGTGCCTGCCTTTTCTTTTCTTTTTTTTCTTAATTAATTTATTTTGTTGTTGTTGAGAATATACATAGCAAAACATACACGAATTCAACCATTTCTACACGTACAATTTAGAGACATTGATTACATTCTTCAAATTGTGCAGCCATTCTCACCTTCCTTTTCTGAATTGTTCCTCCTCCATTAACATAAACTCACTGACCCCGAAGCTTCCTATCCAATCTTTCGAGTTGCTGTTGTTGATTTGATCCCATATAGACAGATCTTAAAAGAGCACAGTGCTCAAGGCAGACATTCTTTACTAGTTAAGCTAAACTATTGTTTGGTTTTAGAAGACTTTGGGGGTATTTTTGGTTTAAGGTTTAAAGATGATCCCAGGGCATTTCGGGGGTTCATCGAGCCTCAGTGGCTCCAAAATCCTGAATTCCACTGCCTTTTATTTTTCAATGTTTTTCATCCACAGAGTTTACTTTTCTTTTTGTATTTCCTCCTCTGCTGTGTCTTTAATCAAAAGGAATGTCTTCCTCTGCACTCAAATCCTACCTCCAGGGTAGCTGTCAATAGTTTGGTGTACATCCTTTTGGGAGTTTCCAGTGCTTTTAAAGTGTAAACATAAACATCCATCATAAATCAAAAAACATTGTTTTTCAAAAACAATAATATATTTTGTGCTGAAACTTGCTTTTTTCCCTTTCCAAGGCACTATATAAAAGCTACCAACTGCGTACTATTCCACTGGGTTCAAGAACCACAATCTGTCTGTTCTCCTAAGAACCACAATCTGTCTGTTCTCCCATTGGTGGACATACAAACTTCCTTTATTGTTCTTGTTGTTACAGATAATGCTGTCCGGAATATTCTTGAACATAAAATTGTATGTGCCCAGTGGGTACATCCATAAGGTAGATTCCTAGAAACTGGATATGCAGGTCCCTAGTATTTAAAGTTGTTCATCTCCATGTAACATATGACAAAACCAAAAGGCAGAAACTCATCGCAGATTCTGTTAGCTAAAAAGAGTCCTGGGCTGGGTGTCGTTTAGCCAGTGATGTAAGGAGAGGGGTGAATGTATGTAGGGGAGCCCTCAGTCCTCAAAAGAGAAGCTTGATGTGAATGGGCAACTTCCCGTTAAATTTGTGTGTTGAGCAAGCAGGAAGATACAGACTTCGTATTTTCTTGACCTGCGAGGCTGCTCTCAGCTGCTCTCTGATAGATGGATGAACGGAGGGATGGATGGACAGACAGTCAGCTGCCATCGAGTTGACCCTGACTCACGGTGACCTTATGTACAACAAAACAAAGCGCTGACTGGTCCTGCATCGACCTCATGATCACTGGCTTGTTAGAGTCCATTGTTGCAATTATTATGCCAATCCATGTCACCGAAGATATCCCAGCATTGTTTCCTCCTAATGATGTGTCCAAATCAAGTGAGTCGGATAATGTTCTATTGTGATCCATAAGGTTTGTCCTGGCTGACTTTTGAAAGTAGATCACCAGGCCTTTCTTCTTCATCTGTCATAATCTGGAAGGTCTACTGAAACCTGTCCACCATGGGTGACCCTGCTGGTATTGGAAATACCGGTAGTGTAGCTTCCAGCATTGTAACAACACCCAAACCACCATGGTATGACACACAGACAGACGGGGTTGGTGCTTCCCTCTGGACTAGGCAAAAGATGGGCCCTCCAAAACTAGCCTGGCCAGAGCCTACCCACTTAAGGTCCTCGGGTCGCCCCACCCCCCACTTTTAGGTTCACATCCCTTAGCATCCCTAAGGATTTCCAAAGCCAGATGTGGAGGTGGTGGTGGTTAGTTACTGTCGAGTCGATTCCAACTCATGGCGACCCCATGCGTGCAGACTAGAAATGCTCCCTAGGGTTTTCAAGGCTGTGACCTTTCAGAAGCAGATCGCCAGGCTGTCTTCCAAGGTGCCTGTGAGTGGGTTTAAAACACCAACCTTTGAGTTAATAGTCAAGCACTTGACCATTTGTGCCAGCCAGGGACTTTTAATGTAGATGTGAAGGAGAAGGGTGGAAATGGCAGATTTCTCTTTGCTTTAGATACCTTAGGTAGATAGATAGATGATGGATGGATGAATGGATAGATGGATGGATGGATGGATGCATGGATGAACAGATGGATGCATGGATGGATGGATGGATGGATGCATGGATGGATGGATGCATGGATGGATGGATGCATGGATGAATGGATGGGAGGGAGGGAGCGAGGCAAGCAGGCAGGCAGGCAGGGAGGGAAGTAGGGAAGGAGGGAGGGAGGGAGGAAGATAGGAGTCGTCCTGAGTCTGCCCTCCCCACCTGTCCCAGTAAACAGCCAGACCATTTCCTGGCCCTGAGTTTTCCAGCTTTTCTTCTAGCGTTTCTGAGGAAGGCAGAGCTCTTCCCACCCAAGCCTGGATGAGCCAGGGGTCACTCCCTCCCACTCAGAGCAACCCCCCTTTGTCAGTAATTGTATTTGTTAACGATGTTCCAGTGACAGGGAACACGAAGGTGGGAGCAATGCAATTTGTAAAATGATTCATCAACAGTAATTTGCTATTGATGCATCCCTGGTAATCTCAAGAAATCTGATGAGGTGGAATTGAGGCAAATTTAATTATAGAGACAAGCATCACACGCTGATGCTGTAATAGCATTTCCCACATTAACCTCATTTTTCATGAGGGTTTTTTTGCTTCCACCACAATATTTGGTTCCCAGTGTTCCAGTGCTTGTTAGCTGCTCTTTTCACTTTGAATTCCCTGCCTTTTGTCAGTCTGCACCTTCTGTATTGCTTCAGCATCTCCCCACTCCCGAGCTTCCCATCCCTGCAAATGGAGGCATGGAGAGGCAGTGGGAGAGATATTAGGACCTGCCCCAAAGAGAGCAGGCTCTGATCTCCTGCAGGTGATGCTGGAGCTGTCTAGCCTGTCTGCCGGTCTGGGGAGAGCTGGGCTTGGGCCTGACTGATACATAGTGGTTCCTGATGACCTTGAAAGAGAGAAGTTTTGCTAAATTATAGCAAGACACAACACATGCTCAGAATGTGGGTCTCCTGTCTCCCACCTATTTCTCCCTCCCCAGACCATAGAGCCCAGTCCCTCAGCTTCCTGGAGCATTGGGAATTGAAGAATTGACTTTCTTAACTGTTTTAGTCAAGGCAGAGTTTGAGTTCAGACAGTATTCTCTTTGCTTTTAGAAGGACAGTCATATAGTCCCTCTTCCTCCCTCTTCCCCATTCAGGCCCACACACATTAGAAGAAAATAATTTGCTAATTATCTAAGGGAGTGGGGTGAATCCATCTCTCCTGCCTGCCACTGATGGTGATAGCTGCTGGCAAGCAAAAAGGAAGCATTTTCTTCTGAGTACTGCATCATCTCGGAAGGAGGTTTCTTCTAATCCTAGCTATTTTGGCTATTTACCAGCTCACCGCAGTCATTGACCAGCCCTTTTTAAAATATATATTTTTGTATTTAGTAATTAAATAAGCAATTAGTGGCAACTTCTTCAAAATAGAAACTTGTAGCTTCTTTCCTTCAGCCCATTCTCCTACAGTTTCTGCTTCCATCTCTTCAGCCCTGGGAATAATAAGTCTGTCGTACTTGTACATCACTTTACCATTTACAAAGCACATGAGCTTCTGTTATTCTATTTGTGTCTCTTGCTAGCTCTGTATATTTAATTGGTGCAAGGATGGGTATCCCCATTTTACAGATGGGGAACCACATCTTCAAATGACTGTCGCCCAGATGCTAAAAAAACATTGCTTTAGCTTCCAGCTGGTGGATGAGCCTGCAGTAGAGTGTCGATGTGATAAACACTGACCTTGGAGTCAGCCAGGCTTGGCCTGAACCCCAGATCCGCCTCTAACTATAGCTGCCTTGGCTTCTTCATTTGTGAAATGGAGATGATAAAACCAGCCCTATAGTTTCTATTTTGGTGTGTGTGTGTGATGGACTAATAATAGCAACCATCAGAATCTCGGCTAAACTTTTCTGAGCGCTTAGTATATGCTAGGAACCTTTTTAAGCACTTTATATGAATAAACATATTTAGTCCTCATAAACAAAGCTATGAAGACGGTACTCTGCCCATTTTATTGACAAGGAAACCGAGGCACAGGGAGTTTCAGTTTAAGTCAGAAGTCATATCCCTGGTACGTGGGGCATGGAGACTACAGCCCAGACAGCCTGATTGCAGCACCTCTGCTCCTGCATGAAGTGCTTGGCAGAGTAGCTAGTACAAAGTAGTTGCTGAACAAGGGAGGGCTGTTATGAGGGCAGGTCTTATCTCCCACCCCACCCCACTCTGGTCCAAGCTCCATGCTTTCCAGGATCCCTTTGCTGCTGTCAGCTCAGGTACCACGCCTCAGGCACATAGCCAGGAAGCAGGAGTCCATGGCTTACCGAGTTCCCGGTGAGCACTCAGCAGCGTAGAGCAGGCTCCTCACCAGGCTTTGAGGTCAACAGACCTAGGTTCAAATCCTGGCACCCACTGCCATTGTGATTCTCCTCTGCCTGGAGTTCTCACCCCCAGGATCTTTACACGGCCTCTTCATGTTAATCAGCACTTGGCTAGGATGTCACCTCCTCGGAGAGGTCTTCTCTTCCCACCCCCTGTAAGATAAACACCCCCATCACTCCCTAACCCGGGCGCCTGCAAACTTTTTCTGTAAAGGGCCAGAGTAAGTATTTTCTGCTTTGCGGGCCACATATGATCTCTGTCGCGACTACACGCTTCTGCTGTGGTATCACAAAAGCAAGCCTACACAATATGTAAATGAATGGGCATACCTGTGTTCCCGTAAAACGCTGTTTACAAAAACAGGCAATGGGCCAGACTGGGCTCAAAGGCCATAGTTTGTCCAACCCCTGCTGTGACCCAAAACTAAAACCAAACCAGTTGTCACTGAGTAAATTCTGACTCACAGTGACGCTTTAGGACAGAGTGGAACTGCCCCATAGTTTTTCCAAGGCTGTAATCTTTATGGAAGCAGACTGCCACATCTTTGTCCCACGGAATGGTTGGTGGGCTCAAACCGCCAGCGTTTTGGTTAGCAGCCGAGTGCTTTAACCACTGCACCACTCGGGCTCCTTTTGTTGTGACCCAATGCCCTGTTTATTCCCTTCATGTCACATATCACTGCCTGCAAATACCTTCTTTATTTACTTATTTATTTCTGAATTGTCTGTCTCTCTCCACTAGACTGTCATCTATCTGGTTCACTGCACCACAGAGAATGGAGCCTGGCACTTAATACCAAAAAAAAAACCTGTTGCCATCCAGTGGGTTCCGACTCATAGTGGCCCTATAGGACAGAGTAGACCTGCCCCATAGGGTTTCCAAGGCTGTAATCTTTATGGGAGCAGATCACCAGGTCTTTTCTCCTGAGGAGTGGCTGGTGGATATGAACCACCACCCTTTTGGTTAGCAGCCAAGCACTTAACCACTGCACCACCAGGGCTCCTTCCTGGCACTTAATAGACCTCTAATAAATAGTTAGGAGCCTTGGGGGGAGGGGCAAGCGGTTTGGAATTGGCTACTAACCTAAAAGTTGGTAGTTTAGAGCCACTCAGTGGCTCTGAGGAAGAAAGACCTGGCAAACTGCTTCCCTAAAGATTGCAACCTTAAACTCTATGGAGCAGTTCTACTCGTAACATATGGGGTTGCCATAGGTAGGGGCCTGACTCTGGCAGCTAACAACAACAACAATAGATAATTGTCAAATATATAAATGAATAAATACCCTGCAGATAGTAGATATGTAGTAAATATGTGTTGAATGAATGCCCTGCACAAAGTAAGTGCTTAAAAATATTTATCGATGAATGTTTTAAGTATTGATTGTGCTCCATGGTATTTGTTGAACAAATAAATGAATGAGCCCTGCCCTGCACACAGCAGGCTCATAAGCTTGTTGAAGGAATGTTCTCCAAGGCTCAGTTTCTTCACCTGTAAAATGGGTCTGCTAAAAGAGCTCCCTCGTGAGATGAATTAGATGGTGTGCAGTGCCCCGTGTGGCGCCAGGCACACAGTAGGTGCACAGATCACGGCTCTGCTCATCATGTCCTCATCCCTTTGGTTTTCAGAGGAGGCACTGAAGCTGCACAACGGGCCCCTCCACGGCGCCTACATGGAGCAGAACTTCCAGAGCCTGAACCCCGTGCTAAGCCTGCCCATCAACCCCGCGCAGGTGGAGCAGGCGCGGCGGCACGCAGCCTCCACGGGCGCGGTGCTGGAAGGCTGGCTGGACTCGCTGGTGGGCAGCATGTGGACCGCCATGGACATCTGCACCACGGGCTCCACCGCCTGCCCCATCATGCAGGCCTGCAGCCAGACGGCCTGGAGCTCCTTCAGCCCTGACCCCAAGTCGGAGCTGGGGGCCGTCAAACCCGATGGCCGCCTCAGGTAGCACTGGGCACAGTGGGCCATGGCGGGGTCCCAAAGGGAAAGCAGCCAGAGGGCCGGCAGGGCCTGCACCCTGGGCCCCCTCCCCAGGGGGTGCCTTTTGTACGAGGGACACTCCTGGCCATAGAATGACGGAGATGGCAGGTTTGGAGGCCAAAGCAGGGTCTGCCAACAACCTGCGTTTAGCAGGCTGGCTTCTGGGAGTGAGTTTGCCCCATGGTGGTCTCAGCTCTTCAGTCAGTCCACACGTCCTACAGGTTCCTTTCTTCCCCCTCCAGTGACCCAGCTCCCAGACAAGCGATTTTCAAACCTTTATTTTGAGCAGCTGAACTCTGTGTACTAAGCGCAGTCTTGGGTGGAAGTTCAAGGTGCAGATGAACCCCAGGCTGCTCTGGTTGAAGCAACAAGTGTGAGGTTCTTCTCCAAGCTCAGCCCACTGGGCAGTCCCTTTGCTGAGGGCATCTCGTAAGGTACCTCGTCAGAACCCAAGGGCACTGCAAAACCCAGTATGAAATGCACTGCCCAGACCATGGGTTTGACCTCCAGCCCCGCGCTTTGGCTCATCTTCCTGCTCCTCTTGGCCAGGAAATCCTTGTGCCAGCCACTGAAAGTCACAGTCGTGCCCTCCCCCAGTGAGGCAGCAGGCTGGGGTGGCGGGTTCTGATCCTCCCCCCAGCCCTCTTCGGGTTGAGCCACCCACCTTTGTAACTAGATGGGCAGGACAGCCCTTTGAAGTGGCATGGCCAAGGTCAACCAAAAGCGTGGCTGCCATCCATCCAGTGTTCCAGGCCACATAGCTGGGGCCACCTCCCTCAGCACTGCCCCACTGGGTAGCAGAGAGGTGATGGTACACATGGGCATGAACATCAAGTCCCCTACCCATTCAGGGGCCAGGAGGCCTAGACCATGACCGCTTTGTTCCTTGAAAATGGGGACCTTGTGAACACACGGCCTTGAAGCTCACAAGAGAATGTTTGAAGCAAACCTCCTGAGCTGGACAACACAGCAATACCAGTCACCTGCCCCAGCCCTTCTGTCTGAAGTCAGACCTTCAAACGTTTGCGAGTCGCACGCACGGTGCTGCTGGGAGTGACCAAAACGCATGGACCAGACTCTTCATATCCAGGAAAAGCATTTCAGATTTGGTTTTCAGTGTCATGCCCTTCCTTATCCGAGGTGCGAACAGGCCCATCTGGCAGACAGAATAAAAGTGGGAAGGTTGAGTGTCTGGTCGCTTAAAAACTAAAAACTAGTATTATTCAAATTGCTTGAGTTACCAGAAATCCAAAGGGTGTCCTTGCCACGTGCTCCTGAGGGCCACCCCACTAAGACTAGAGAGCCCTCCCTGTCTCTGAAGTTTTCCCTTCCTCCTCTAATCCCATCCTCCCCCAAAGGACAGAATCCCCTTGGAAAAGCCACGCCCCAGGTTGCAAAATGCCCTTACCACGAAGAGCCAGTCTCGTATTTTTCTCCAGTGTTGGTTTGAAGGTACTGCTGTTTGCTTTGGACGTGAGGGACACCTGTCAGCTGTGTTGTCCCCCACCCCCACCTCTACCCCCAGCAAGGCAGGATGTCCTGTGGGCAAGAAAGGATACAGAGAAGGGACACTTTAGATATTTATTATTTATATGTTTTAGTCCATGACTAATTAGTAGGTGCTGTTTTTGCAGCTTGTCAATTACGTTATCTTACTAACGAAAGCTGCCTTTATTCACAAAAGGCCCCCATTCCCCATCCTTTTGCCTTCCTCTTCCGCTCTCCCCTACTCCCTAGTGTCTTTCTCTCTCTCTCTCTCTCTCTCTCAGTTTCTGTCTCTCTGAGTCTGCCCTACATTCTGCTTGCCCTCAAAGTCAAGCAGAGGAGTTGGACACCATGAGGGAAAGCCTTGCCAGCATCATCCACTGTCCAAGTGGGTCTGCCTTTGGAAACATCTGAGCCTTGCTTTTCCTTAGCCGAATGTTAGCCTCATCTGTCCCTCCAATTCTGGAGGAGTTGAGTTTCCTAAGCCACCCCCTCCCCCCACCCCAGGAAGAGGGATGAGGCATAACACGTGAAGACTTGTGGATGGAGAATGTGCTGCCTGCAGAGGGCTGGGGCCATCCCTGCTACCTCCCCTGCTGACTTCCCATAGCCAGTCTAACCATGGATGTGACATGGCAAGCTGGCAGAGAGAAACAAGCTCTTCCCAAGAGGAAAAGGGAGATCCAGCTTAGGAAAAGGGTGGTCAGACAGACTGGAAGAGCCCAGGAGATAGCCATCATCCACAGGGGACTCAAACTGCCTTTCTCAGAAAGTCCATGTGATCTGCGGATGGTTTTATAAACTCTGGGAGCCCTGTGCCCCAGCCCTCTACATCCAGCCAGGTTTCCCTAGCATCCAGACTCTCGAAGCCAGGGAGACCGCCCTCCCACCCTCTGCCTGGCCGCTAGGTGTCTGTTCTCCCCAGTGTTCTTCGTGGTGGCTTTGGAGGCTCTGCCCTGGCACATCACTGTGTACTGTGAACCCGCAGATGCCTAGACGTGTTCCCTCTTGCACCCACTGTCATTCTGACTGTGCTCCGTCCTGGAACAAATGGAGAAGTGGCAGACCTGGCTTACTCTGGGGACCATCCCCCACCTCCTCCAGGCTTCACTCCCATCCACCCCAAACTAACTGGGGGAGCTCAGCCATCACACAGGGTCTTCTTTTGTCCCCTCTGATTTTGGACCAGAGAATAACCTTGCAGAGATTACATTTGATGGAAAAGAATTCCAAACCAAGGCCAGGGTGATTGGTGAAAAGGTGATATTTTCCCAGGAAAAGTTGTTAAACTCATTTTTCCCCCTGCCTGAGAATGATTTATCTATTGGCGGACCTTTAGTCAGGTAGCCATGAATCATGACTGCATGAGGATTTCAAAAATGTGGGAACGTGGTCCTTGGAAGCCCTATGACAGTCTGCGAGGGCACAACAGCCGTGGGCTGAGTCACCAGTCAAGGCCCTGGGGACTTAGGAAGGCTCAGAAGTGGGACTTGGGTTTGGGGGTAGAAGGAAGCATTCATTGGCTGTGGCACTCTCTACAGCTTTCCAAAACCCCACTTCCCATTGCCACGGGTAACGCTGCATGTCTCCAAGGAAGAAGTAAGCCATTCCCGGGGTCCTCATGTTTTAAAAAGTGCACCAGTTCCTCCCTTTGGAAAAAGGCCTTTCTGATTGGGGTTACTTTATCCCGCATTGTTGGTTTAACTTCTAAAATGCAACCAGCGTTTAGAGAGGATAAGTAAGACCACGCAAGCCCCAGGAAAGAGGTAGATTCCAGCTCCTCGCGGTTCATGCCTGGGCTGTGAGCACCATGCTCCCTTCTGGTTCCCTAGTTTGCAGATGCAAGGAAGAGACTGGCTGGAACCTTAATGTCACCACCAAGAAGGTGCAGAGTAGAGGAAAGCAGTAGCTGCTGGGTGTGGGGCATGAGCAAAGACCCCTTTCACAACCAAGTTCACTGAGACTTCAGGACACAAGCTCCCAGCAGCATGAAGGAGGGGATACTAAAAACAGCTGTCGACACTCAGCTCTAAAGACAGCAAGGATGGCCCCCAGATCAAAGCCGCACTCATTGGTAGGGGTCCCAGATGCCTGCAGGGTCCAGAACGCTAATAGAGATGAGTGAAGCTGGTTGGTAATTAAGACAAAAGGGAACGGTGGAGACTGTTGTGCGCTGACATACACAGGACCCATCCCAAAAAGCAGCTGGTATTCAGCTCCAGCCTGTCATTTCGTATGAGAATGCAGGCACAGTGTAGCAGAATCTTCTAGATTCTTAAAGGAGGCCAGAAATCCGGATTGTTAGAGGAAATCTCCTGGTTTTTTAAGTGTTGGCTTTTTTCTTTTTTTAATGGGGAGAGTGGGGGAATATTCCACAGTTCAGCCTGTGCACTACCAGCAACCTCTGCTCTCTAGAAGGTGATTTAAAATGAGGTCAGGCATTGCCCTGATGGAGGAGGGAAAAAGCTAGCAATAGGAAAGGGCAAAAACAATAGCTCACGTTGAACCCTGAAGGGAATGGGAATCTTCTCCTATTATTCCTCCCACAAAGAGATGAACCCACGGGGAGAAGTAGTCTGTGAGGACTGGCTCCTTCAGTTCTCCTGGTCTCAAGACAGTTATGCAAAATGGATTTAGAGACCTGGGCTGCAGCCCCTTAGACAGGTAGAGGGCCACATCTGTCTTGGCCCACACCTTCCGGATTTCCATCCATACCCGGCGGAGAGGGCAAGGACAGGGTCCAGGAAGGGGGTGATGATGTGTCAGGCAGGCCAGCTCTCTCCAAATCCCATGTTTGGGCGGCCATCTTGCCACAGCTCCGGAAGCTTCTTTGGAAGCCATGCTGGAGCTGTGCTTGCCCGCGGGATGCGTTAGCCAGTTGTGTCCTCCTTGCTTCTGCCTCAGTTACCTAATTTTGCCCATGGGTCTACCACAGGCGCTACCTCACTGTGTCTGCTGAGAAGTTTACCTGGGGGAGAAATAAAGGTGTCCAAAATCTCCTTGAGCTGAATGTACGATCTATGCAAATCCTCTGTCTCTCTCTGTCTCTGTCTTAGAAGTATTAATTTTTTTTACCTTGCAAACAAGATACTGTATAGGACCCTCTTAAGACCGAGGAGGGCTTTCACACGCCACCTGTGTCTACCCCTCACGTTGTCTTTGGTTTTGTTCTTGCCAAACCCCATGCCAAGAGAAAAGTGGCTCTCTCTCCCCTCTCCACGTAGCTGGGAGTCCTCCAACTGCCTCTGCCCATGGACTACGCAGGAAAGCAGGCTCTGTACCTTGCTCCCCTCGTTCCTAACACTGTCTTCTCCATTCCTCATCTTCTTCCGCCTTGCTTCCCCCCTAAAAAAAAAGCCTTAGGTTTCTCCTTTCTGAAATGTGGCCTTAACATTATTTTTGGAAAGCTGACCATTCTCTTCCTGATTCCCACCAACATCCCAGAAGAAAACGCCATCTTGAAGCTTCTGCGGCCCCTCCTAAGCCAAGGGCTGCCAGTCTGCAGTTGGCGGATATAAAAGAAATTGCTTACAAATGTCATCTTTCAGGTAAAAAAAGTGGGTCTTCTGTTTTTCCTATGGGTAAAAATGAAGGCTTGGGTGGTCATCGAAACCTTAGCCAAGTCCTGAAGCACTCGAGTAGAGCATATTACAGTTGTAGTGGGCTGGCTTAATTACCAGCAGAGTGCTAACATCGGCTCCCAATCCTCCCCCAGCCCCCAAAGCCTTGGTGACTTTCTGTACTTCATTCAAGGGTAAATCAGGAGAGTTTCTCAATTTATCTCTTTGTCCTTCCTGGCTGGAAAGGGATCGTGTTAAATATTCCCAGCGGATGGGTAGTGTTCTCAAAGGGAATCACCCTTCCCTACCATTCTTTCTCCTTCCATCACGCCCCTGCGGATGGAAGCCAAAGACAAGCCCAGGGTTTTCATAGGAGATTCACTGGAATCGAGCGCAATCCTCTTTGTAGTCCTTGTTGTCTTTTTAAAATTTCTTAATATTACGTTGTTGTCAATATTGTTCGTTTGGACTTTAGAGACCTCACAATAAGTTATTACCGTCCCCTTCATTTTTTCTTTTCAAAGACGTGGTGATATAGTTTTTAAAAATAACTATTTTGTTATGGATCATAATATGCATAAAACTGTACAGAAATATTTTGTAATGTGTTGATTTTTTTAAAAAAGAGAATCTGTAAATAAAGTTTTAAAGAGAGAGAGAATTCAAACGGCACACACTGAAAGATGTAGATATTTTGCTATTTATTTAAAGGAGTATTTTAAGAGAGATGGAACTATCTGAAATTGACCAGTAATCAAAGTTCCAATCATCTGAATGCTTTTCCTCCCGGTAGAATGTGGTTCTCAGAAACGATTGCACTACCCGCCCATTTTTGCACCTTTTCTGTCTTTTCATTTAGCAGAAAAACCACCACCACAACAAAATTGTGCCTTAGCTGTATTTTTTTGTCTAGGGGAGTTTGTTTCGGTCTGACAAAGCAAATTTTTTTGCAGAAAACAGTGGATGTATTTAATACTGTATCATACCAAAAACACTGCAGGTGTATATAGATGCTTCTGTCATACTGTGTTTTCAGATGCAGAATTTTAAAATAAAATTTAAAAAAATACTGTCTTTATGGAACAGTGGCTGTATGGCTTCTTTTCAGTGATATTGTGCATCTTAGGTTTGCAGTCGGCTGCTAATTAAAGGTTCATGGTTCGAACCCACCCAGTGGCGCCACAGAAGAAGGGCCTGGTGATCTGCTTCTGTAAAGATTACAGCCAAGAAAACCCTATGGAGCAGTTCCACTTTGTAACACATGGGGTCACCATGCGTGGGAATCGACTGGATGGCAACAAGTACAATCTGGTATTCTCTTCCCTCATCTTCACAGCCAGTCCCCTAGTATTAGGGCAACTAGATAATTTAACATCCAAACTGGAAAACCTTTGTCTCCTGGGCAAACCTGAATGCATGGACGCTCTTCCTGGTAAAGGTTGCTGTCATCTCTCAACTGGATTTCTGCAACACCCTACTGTAAATGAGGAGTCCTGGGTGGTGCAC